CACTACATGGCTCTATTCAATGTGGCCTGGGCACATAGATACTGTGTAGTGTATGGTGGTACTATATACCACTGTGGCAGATGTGTTGGTTGCCTTTCCAATAGCCACCTGCTACAACAGAGGCTGACAATACCAGACTGATGCTTTCCCAGACCCCTTTGTAACCAGGAATGGACATATGAAAAGACATAAATGAAAGTATTTGGGGAGAGCTTCTGTTTATTAGAAGAAGTCACTGGAATACCCTTCCTTCAGCCTTGTCACCTAGCTACCTCTGACTCATCCTTATCACCACATTACTGTATTCACTCTTTTACTTGTCAGTTCACCTCATAAAGTTTTGGTGAGGGTAGAGTCCATGACTGTCTGGTTCGCTATTGCAGCCCCAGTTCTCGTTATATAATAAACAGTCATTCAATAAATATTTGCTGATTAACGAATGAATGGGGGCTATCAAGGAGGTAGAATCCCTAGAATGTGGCTATTGCCTAGAGGTGACAGAATGAAGTCCAGTATGGCACACTGTTTCTGGTTTATATGGTTGGCTAGAGGGTGCTATCTTTTCCCATGAGTCAGCACTGGAGGAAGAGCAGAATAGTTCGAGAAGATGAATTTTGACCTACATGTGTTGAAATTGGGGAGGTGCTTTTGGAATAGTCCCCATCAACAGTTGAACATAGGTTCTGGATTGAAGCTCGAGAAAGATAGAATTGGCCAGGAAGAATATGTAACATGAGAAGTGACTCTTCAGCGCTCTCATCTCATCGTGTGGCACCACCATCCATCATGTTGCCTGAGCTAGAAATCAGGAAGTCATCTTTGACATCTTCTTCTCCCTCATCTCCTACATCGACCCATCACCGAGTACTGAGGATTCCATTTCCTGCCTCTCACACCCATAAACTTCCCTCCATCTTCCTCGCCACCACTAGAGTCCAAGCCAGACACCTCTCTCCCATGCTTTTGCAATGACCTTCTAATTGTTTTCCCAAGTTCACTCCAATGCCCTTCCACCCACCATATTCCAGCCACATCAATCTTCTCTCACCCCTTGAAAGCACGCCAATTTCCTTCTTGTCTCAAGGCCGTTATCCATGAGGTTCCCTCTGCCAAGAACACTGCTCCTTCCATCCTCCCCCTTCCTCCACCTGCCCATCTCTGGTCTACTCTTTAGATCTCAGCTTAAATGCTACATCCTCAGGGAGGCTTTCTTTGACTGTTTCTCATCCCAGCCACCTTTGTAGCCTCAGAAATTTAACTTTGCTGGAAAAATTTAACTTTGTTGCAAAAGCCCAATAGGATGATTGGGCTTTTGGTGACATATGTGGCAAACAAAATTTTGAAAGACTTATGTATCAAAGTTAAATCATTAATTGAAATGAGCAATGTAACTATTGAGGTTCAGAAACTTAAGAGAATTGGACAAGTACATTTTCTCCCCTAGAGGGCAAATCTACACAGAAACCCAAATAGCTTGTGAGTACAGGACCTGACAAAGGACATTAACTGCTTGATCTAAATGGTTAAATTTGCTAAACCTTGATACCCCAGCACAGCCATTTCCACCACAGAGATCTTTCCTGACACCCAGTTCTGAACACACCTGCCAATACTTTCTTCCAATTCCCAAGCTTCAGAGGTTAATCTGCTACCCCATCAGATATAAACTTGCTTTAGTTATGTTAACATGCATTCAGTTAATACTTAATAAGGTTAAGGTCAGACCTGGAAGCAATCTTTTAGATGACTTTGCATGGATCCGCTCAGATCTATTATATGTATTTTATAGTTCAATTTTACGAGTTGTGAAAGCAGACTCTTATAGGATTTATATTCACTTCTTTAAAAGTCTATTACTTACTATATTTGTTTAGATTCCTTTAGAATCTGATTTGCTGACTGTTTAAGCAAACAGAACTCTGTAGTCTGGAGGCTAAGAACCTTCTAGTAGTCTGAGGAGTTGTCATGCAGGTTCAAGAAAGAGATTTAGCTCTAAGGATTAAAGCCTTTTGGAAGGGAGTTGTCAGATAAGGGGGAAGGCTGCAACATTCATATGCATAAAATCATGTTCTATGTTTAACGACAAAAGTTTTCTTGCAAGGTTTTCTGTAAGTAGCCCCCTTGGAAATTCCTCATCTTTCATGGAGCTTAACCTTCTATCTCAACATATTCCATGCTAATCAGATGTCATGGGAAACAAGCAACTTGGCATCTGTAACTCCTACAGGTATACATTGTCTGCAGTCTTTAGCAGAAGGGCCTCCAAACCTTTTCTCTGTTTTCTACCTCAGACCACAAGGGACATTTAATGACTAGATCATTCTTGTAAATTTATTACCTTGAAACAATAGGTAGGAGAGGCTTTGTGTTGACAGAGGGCACTGCAATGGGGCCAATCCATTGTGGCCTCGATTTGTTTCTGGTTTGGGCTGTTTTTGAAAATTGTTAGAGTAAGTTTCCATTCTTACCATGCTTTCTTTCAAGTTTGCTAACCATGGATGAAAGAAGGTGAAAGAGAAGTGCTTGGGATGACAGACACAAGCACAGGCCGTATGGCTTGTCCTAGACAGCTGACCCCTGAGGGACGCAATGGCCCTGCTGAGGTGCCCAGGGTCTGGCTGGGAATGCACAGAAGTTGACTCTCTGGACTTTCATCTCTAGCGTTAGGAGCAGCCCTGAACCTCTATAACTGTCCTCAGGAATTCGTTCTCCTTCCCGAGTGAGGAGAATAATGATAATTAAAAGGCTACCCTAGGGCAGGGGTCCCCAACTACCCAGCCATGGACTGCTACAGGCCCGTGACATGTTAGGAACTGGGCCACACAGCAGGAGGTGAGCGAGCAAAGCTTCGTCTGTATTTGCAGCCGCTCCCCAGCGCTAGCATCACCGCCTCAGCTCCACCTCAGATCGTCAGGCGTTAGATTCTCATAGGAGCACCGGCCCTTGGTGCTAAAAAGGTTGGGGACCTCTGCCCTAGGGGTTGGACTCATAAATCTGAAATTGAACAGGCTTTGCTCAAATACTTCTGGTACTGTTACCAAGTATAAAAAAGGAATAGGATTCTAGCACCTCAAGATATAAGCAACACATATTTAGGCGTGTGATTGTTAATATACACAATAGCCATAAAAGGCATGCATGACTTTTAAACAAAATTTACGCAAAACTCTGCTGTGAGTATAATTTATTTGTATTCTCACATAGAAATTTGTTATACCGACAATAGGAAAAATATAAGTGCTCCCTAAGAAACCTCATAAAATACTCAATTTTAGGATAATACTTAGTAACAAAAAAAGCTTGAGAAACTACCATTTAAATTAGACAATGTACAAGGCTTTAAAATGTTTCTATTTACAAACCTGTGTGAGCACAGGGGTGGAAGGTATGTAATTAGTACATAGACAGAGTTCCATTCTGAAGGTCAGCTTGGAGACATTTTAGAGGTCTCTGGTTTACTAATTTACCTCCCAAGTTCTTCACACCTGGTTATCTTTGGTTATGCTTGCTTTGTCTCCTGTCCCCCGCCCCCAATTCTTTTTTCACAAATTCCCTAACAAGGGAGATTTGAATTCAAACACTGAAAATTTAGTTTTCCCACAGGAATATACATGACTATGACGGTTGCAAATTCATGATTTCAAAAGGCTTTGGTCACAAGTTTTTAAAATTGGAACAATGATTGTTTGTTTTCCTGAGAAAAGGAAGAAGTGAACTAAAACATTTGTATGTTTATTTCCCTTTTTATATTTATTCAATCAGCAAACTGTATATTTTGCTCCGAGCACAGCAAACCCAAAGGGAAAAAAACCTTTAGGATTCCACAGTTTCGCTTTTTGCATCCTCCAAAATACTGAAATGATACATCCCAAAGTGAGGGTGATGGCAAAATTTTCCATCATCATCTTCAGCATGTTTGATTATAGAATTCTTATAGAACTGACAACTTTTAAATTTAAAATAGGAGAATTCTTTATCTGGATTTCTTTTTGGTGATTCAAATACCATTGGTTTCTGAGTGAGAATATTGTGAATGTTTAGAAATAATTTTTTTTAAGTTAGAGATTCAAATCCTAGAAGCGATCTGACCTTAACCGTAGTCTTTATAACATATAGACATCCTCAAATGAACTGAGAATGTAACTTTAAAGGGCCCTCGGATGTTGATGACTTAATTCTATGCATTGGTGGCATTTATAAAATCAATTTAGGGATTAAAGTAAAAATAGTCATGCTGAGTATTTTATAAAAATGTAACTTTTCTTTAACATCTAGGAACTTCTCTTATTTCAGCCAAGAGCTTCTCTTATTTTTTTTAATTGAAGACAAATTCATTCTCATAAGATAAAGGTAATAAACTCGACCTAAAAAATCCTTTGCAATCTCTAACAAACATAACAATACAGAATCATTTTGACTGACAAGAACCATTTCTTCCTAATATGGCTCTGTCAGCATGAAAAAACCCAACCATCTCTTGTAGGGGAATGCCACCCACACAATGACAGCATCAAGGTCACCCTGTTGAGGAGCTGGGAGTAAGCTCAGTGATCAGCCTGCACCCCTGTAATGTGTGACTTACATTGATTTTTTACAAGCCAATCTGCTTATCTGAGAATTCTGTGTTATCTTTGATTTTGTGACCATGAATTCTATTTCCTTAAGGCTTAACTGGTTTATAGAGCTTAATTTTTAATACTGTTAACGTTATCTTACCAACCGAACACCGAAAATATCAATAAATATCAATAATTAGCTTCAGTCTCACTTCCTCTTTCTGCTGGAACATTTTGGCTTTGTAAATATGTTACAGTCCTAGCGTCAATGCCCTACGAGGGTTTAAAATTCCCTTGCCAGAGCACTTCGTCTGAATGTGTCTCTCACATGTTTAGGGTTGTTCCTGAGGTCTAAACAAAAACTACCAAACAAGCATAAGAACATCACCAGTGAGTTAATATGGATGTGGTTATCGGTGAAAAACAATAGTTTGCAGAGACCTTGGAAGTCAGCTAGGGCAGTTGGTCAGAAATGACTTGTGACCATGGTTGTGGGTGGGGTTTGTTCTCACAGAGGGCTTTCAACTATCCCTTTCTTGACTTGTAGGTAAAAGAGGCGGTTTTCTTCAGGGTAAGTGACTTTACTGAGAGGCATTTTGTAGATGTTGGGGTTTTTCGTGGTCAGCAAAAGGAACAGTAGTGTGGCCAAACAGAAGGGCCAGGTACAAGATGGCAATCCGACCTGAGGAAGAAGAGACAAACCACATTCCTTTGAAATCCTGTCAGGAAGCTAATCATCATAAAGCATCACCGTTCACTCTATTCTCACACTGCCCAGGGGGATGAGCCACTGGGGACATTGCTCTGGACTCTGCTTATGCCCACTGAGACTAAGATGTCTGGGCATTTAGCAGGTGAAACACATCATCATCCATCCTTTAGGGTAGTCACTTATGTTTCTATCTTGTAAATCTTTTCCTTTCTCTCATACATTCAGACTTTTGATGCCAGACATATAAAAATGATACTTGGTACACAGAGATGACACCCAGAAAACCACCAGTGGCTCCTGATTATTAATCACATCCACAAGGCCTTCTTTGAATAGTTCAGCCCATGGGGACCTCTTTCCCCTTGACTTCCCCCCATACTAGGTCTTAAACTTCACTCGCTTTACTTCTTTCACTCTATCTCCCCAATAGACCTAAGCTCCTTGTAGGTCTTTCTCCTGTGCTAACCATGGCAAGTCATGCAATTCTGAGCACATGCCACACACTTGGCGAGGTCTGGCCCTATGCATGGGCCCCCTGGGTGTGATGGTACCCAAATTTGTCTGCACATCAGAATGATCTGGGGGGTCAGATGCCCATGCACCATACCAGATCCGCTCTATCAGAAATGCCAAGGAACAGGGCCTAAAGGATCTGTATTTTTCAAAATCTACCTAGCTGACTCTGTTGTGCAGCCTGTCCAATTCTGGTCCATAGACCGATGTCTGTGAACCTTTGTTAGGATGCAAAGGGCCCTGCGATGCTCTAAAGTATTCCCCTATCATGCCTGTAATGGTGCTTTGCCTTTCCGCCAGAAAGAGAGTCTCCAGAGGACCCTCCCAGACAGACCCTCTATGTTGCCGTTGAGAGGGCTAGGTACTGTCTTGACTCTCTAGCAGCCGGGACCACACTGACATGGACTGAGCTATCAGAAACTGGCCCTGCATCACCTGCAATGGTGGGCGTAGAAGAGACAAAAATGTTCAGGGCACTGGGAGGTGGGGATCTTGGAACAGTCAGGGGTTACTGGGCTCCTCGGGGGAGGGGAAAAACAAGGTCAAAGGGCAGGTTGGCACTGAAAAGGAAGGAAAAGAGTGGCAGGAAGCACTTAATGGGCAATGATTTTGCCTATTAAATAATTCAGCCCAGACATGGATCTGAATAAGTCTCATTGATGTTTTTAAAAAGACAAAAGATATAAAAACTATTGAGTTGATTAAAAAAAAAAATGCGGGCCTGTAGCCAATTATCCTTTTCCTCCCTTTCCTGCTTTCTCAACTGCTACATGGTCCTGGCTTTCTGTTTAAGTAAAAGATATCCTAAGGTCAACTTCTTGACACTAAGAAACTTGATAATATGTAATATGACCTAAGTTTCACTTCTTTAAGTCAAGCAATTTGATATTCTTAACAAGCCTGGTAATTGTAACGAGGACTAAAATTTACTGTGATGCCGGAAGGTGAGTGAGGACAGACAGGTGCAGGAGAAGGGAAAGTTGTGGTTGTCACGATCATGGATCCTGCCATGGGACACCACCCATGTGGACTTCAAGAGGGTTTCCACATCATTGGAAACTGATCACTCATGCTGATGAGAAAGTGAGATTAAAACAAACTCACCACAGCCATCAGGTGTGTCATGCTGATTCCAAGGTAGGCAGTGAACAGGGCTACAAAAAAAAAAAAAAGAAAAAGAACAATGCTTGGTAGATTTCATTTCATTATAAGAGAGACTGCCTTCTGGTATAAATCCCCTGGAATGTAAACTGCATTCTGCCAGCTAGCTCAGGACCCTCGTCTCAAGTATGAGCTCAGAGCCAGCAGCTCTGGGTTTGAGTCCAGACTCCACCACTCAGAAGCATGGTGGGCTCTGTTGAAACTTTCACTTCCTCACTTGTACATAGTGGTCATAAGAATACTTCTCTCGGGGGCTGATGTGAACATGAAAGGAGGAAATGCTTGGGCTTAGTAAGGACTCAGTGTAGGTAGCTCTTCTGTGGTTACTATTTTGTTGTGGTTATTGCTGATACTTAATGAAACGGCCTTCTATGGCAAATAAAGTTCCCTGTTGTTTTACGCAAGTGTAGGTGAATTAAAATGAAACTTATAAATGTATCTTGAGATAGTGTGATTTCCACTGCATCTAGGATTCTCATATTAATGTTAGAATTCACAGTTACAAAAAATCATGGTATTAACAGATAAGCAGAGAGTAACTCAGAGATCAGCAGAAACTGAATACTAACTTAGGATTCCTCCTCAGAATAACATTTTTCCAAATACCATTAATATTGGCACATAAGTCAACGAATAAACATGCTATTTTAATTTTTATTTATTTTTATTTAAAAAATTTTTTTTATTAGTTTCAAGTATATAGTACATTGGTTAGACATTTATATAGTTTATAAAATGATCCCCCTAATTGCTCCTTCACTCCTCTGGCTCTCCACCTAGCCATTACATTAATACTAACTGCATTCCCTATGCCATGCTCCCCATCCCTGTGACTATCTATGAGCTACTAATATGTACTTTTTTAACCCTTCACCCAATTCTCCCAGCCCCCAACACCCCTCCCCTCCGTCTGTCACCAAATTGTCTTCTATATTTGTGAGTCTGTTTTTGGTTAGTTTGTTCTTTTTGTTCCTTAGATTCTGCATGTAAGTGAAATCTTATAGTGTTTATCTTTCTCTTAAAATTTACATTGAGTGAGCACAAATCTTAGAGTAGGTAATTTGAGTGTATGTGTGACTTTCAATGTCAAACTACAAAAACAAAAGTCTTAACTAGCGAATCGTGGTTGAAGGGGGGAGGGCTCCAGGAGGCTCAGGGAAGCAGCCTGAAGAACAATCTCCCCACAGCCACTTGGGCCTTTAGCACTGTTAGACACACTCACCATCTGGTCTTCCTGTCCAGTGAGAGATCATGTCAGCTACCTTGGGAGCGGGGTAGGAGATGGTGGGAAGGACTCTGTGATCCTCGTTTTCATCCTTTTATCTATCTATCTATCATCTATCTATCTATCTATCTATCTATCTATCTATCTATCTATCTATCTATCATCTATCATCTATCTATATGTTTTTTATCCTGGTATATATTTGCTCAATTGTATACCTAATTTTTTCACATCTGAACTGTCTCATGCTGGTGGGAAAAGCTTGCTTTTGGAAACAGCCTGGGCTTCAAATCCCAGCTCTGCCATTTTGTTTGTTGTACAACAAATCACTGAACTTCTCAGAATCTAGTTTCATCCTCTGTAAAAACACAACATGGAGACGTGCTTTACAGGGAGGTGATAAATGTCACATGAAATCATGTATTTTCATAAACAACAGCTGTAAACTCATCCCTGTCCCCATGGGATGGAGATACAGCTCTGAGCAGAAGGATGCTACAACTTGGGGAGGAAAGGTTTCTGTGCTTGGTTTCAATGTGTCATTCTTTTTATTCTATTTCATTCATTCATTCATTCATTCATTCAATAAATATTCACTGGTCCTTGGCCAGGCACTGGGGACACTCTGTCCCTGCTCTCTTGAGTACCAGCTCTTCTACAACACATCTCCTAAGCACATGAAACCTTATTGCTCCTTCTCTCTTATTTATACCTATTGCACTTCTAAGGCACAACCTTGGCACTTAATTCTCATACTCTTATGCTGTTTTAAAGTGATCTCCAACTCCAAGTTGCTTTTCTCTCCACAGTACGAGTGTCAAACTATCTAATGGTAGCGGCTCATCGATTAAGACTTGCTGAGTTGGACTGGGAAAGCCTTCATTAGAGGTGAAATTCCGTACACCACGGTGTGTACAGGTGATGACCCTGACAGCAGTCTGGGTAGCTGAGGGAGAGAGAAGGCCCTTGAGTGCCGAAGAGAAAACTGCATTTCCGCTCTTCACAGACAACGTCCTTCTCAATGGACCACCATGTGTGAGTCCTGCTCTGATAACCCAACCGTGAGAAAGAGATACGAATTGTGTTTACAGTTTGCACTGATAAAATAACAAAATTGAGAAATTTCCTGCCCATGCAGTTTCTGGCTGAGAGGCAGCCCTGCCAGTTTCTATCGGAGTTCCCAAAGTCTTCTTTCTGATAAAGCCCTATGAACTAATAAAAGAGAACCTCTGTAATAAGTTTCTGTTATTTATTTACCTTGGCTGACAAGGTTGGTTTTTTGTTTGGCAGTACCTGGGTGATGTGGGCAAGCTGAACCTTGCTGGGACATATTACATGTGAGATTTGCTTTACAAGAGGTCCTTGAGATCTGTCTCAAAATTTTATGTTCAAAGATGAAAAACACTGATAGTACCCAGTGTGGATGAAACAGGCACTCTAACACACTGTTGGTGGCAGGGGAAATTGATATGGTTTTTGTGGGGTGAATCTGACATCTATTGAAATGAAAATTGACGAAGCTGGGATTTTGGCACCAGGGTCTGGGCTCTTGATGGATTCAATTTACTGTCTTCACCATTACACTAAACTAGTAAAGAAAATCTGATCTACTCAAAGGAAGGCAAGCGTGGTAGGCAGGATAAAAGTCTCCAAAGATATCCCTGTCCTAATCCCCAGAACCTGCAAGTATGTTATGTTACATGGCAAAAGGAACTCTGCAGTGGAGATTAAGTTAAAAATCTTGAGATGAGGAGATTATTCAAGTGGACTCAGTGTAATCACAGGGCCCTTCTAAGAGGGAAGCAAAAAAGTTATGTCCAGGAAGTAGGATGGAAAATTATTACTGTCTGCTTTGTACTCTTCTGTATTGATTGCATTTTTGTTTGTTTTGTTTTGTGCAATAAGTCTGTGCTACTTCTATAATAAAGAAAATAATGAAGATACTCCTGCTTTGGGGAAATACATTCGCGAACATCTTTGGCTTCATTCTTTTCTATAGTCTGTCAAGACCTCATCAATAACTCTTGTGACCAAAACAGTTTCTGCTCAATCTCTAAGGATGTGCTCAGGCTGTCCCCATGCTGACCCATATGATCCTCTTCACCAACTAGGATTCTTCCTCTTAGTTTTTAGTACTTAGAGAAAAGCCAGCTTCTCTAGGAGGTACTTCTAGATGATTCTGAACTATAACATTCGCTCGAGAATCTTATACTGTAGATGTTGCTTCATTTTGCTATAAACATTGTATAGTTTCCCATGGGCTCTTTCTCTTACTTACCTGGCTTCTGACCTTGACTATTACACACTGTGTGCAGGGACCACCTGGGATCTATAGTTTCAAACCCCCTGGCTCTTCTTAGTACTATCTGTGTTGTATTATGTATTTGCTGCTACTGCCAACCCAGAACAATAAAGGTATACCTTCCAAACAAAGGTTTGAAATCTCAAAATAATGTCAGAATAAAGATTCTAACCTAGCTGAGCTTAGGTGGCCATACAATCAGTGTATAGCCTTTTCTTTTGCCCTAAGCTTGTGAACAAGTATGAGAGAATGAGTGAAAAGTTTTGACAGGGCTACTAGGTGAAATAGCTGTGTAACTGCAAAGAAATTGGCAAAGTGATTCATAAGTGGCAACACCACAGCAACCTGAGTTTTGAATGAGGCCTTAGAAATCCTTGGTCCCATTCCGCCTCCTGACCAATGTAGGAATCTGTTCTAAATCCTGGTCCACCATTTTAATAATGGCTTAGGTACCATGGATTAATTAATCTGTGATAAATTGACTCTAGACAAACATTTCTATTAGATTAGAAGTAACTTCTACACATTCCACTATCCTTCCACCCCTTAGTCTCCCAGGGAGTATCATTCCCTTCACTCTATCACATTATCCTAAATGCTTTTACTTGTATTGAATTAGGGACACTAGAGGTTATGGGAAAATAAACTTTCCCTTATAATGGCCTGAGAAATCCATTAGCTTTTCAAATTTAAATCACCTGAGGTCTGTTTTCACCAAATGCCAGAAGCAGAGTAGTATGGGGGGAACTCGGAGGTTGTCACCAAACGGGGATTCTGGGTTTATATTGGCCCCTGATTGACTGGATGCCCTTCAGCACATCACTTTATCTTTCTGGTCTTAGTACCCGAACAGTAAAATGAGAAAGATGGAGTGGAGATCTCCAGAACTCATTCTAGTACTGACAGGCTGAGTCTGGCTAGAATACCAGAGTGAGAAATGATTAATATAGCGGTTCTCAAAATGTAGTCTCTAGAGCAACCCACTTTGCACTTGGTTAGAACTGCAAACTTTTTCCTCCACCTCTAACAATGAATCAAGGTCTGGAGGTGGGCCCAGTAATCTGCATTTTAACAAGTCTTTCAGGTAATTCTGATGTGCATTCAAGTTTGAGAACAGCTGGATTAATGTGATTCTCAAAGGGCCACATGGAAACCTACCTGATTCACCAGGGGAAATGGCTCTATTCAGCTTGAGTTATTTCCTTTTTGTTTCTTGGGTCAAATAATTAGTATGAAGAGCATAAGACAAGTTGAGTTTTTATCCCACAACATATACATACTGTAAAATAGGAAGTCTTGTTTTTACAATAATCACTGTGATAGGTAGAGCCAACTTGAACATCCCCAAGAGGGGATGTCACACACTTACATAGCGGGGGCCCCAAACCGGGACCCCAGTCCAACTTCTCATGCAGTCCTTTTTTACTCTTTGTCCTGGATTTCGATCCCATAGTCATAAGCAACCCTCTTCCAGATGCATAGGATACTCACCGCAGGCAAGAGCTAGGAGGTGGGTTTGCCAGGTGAGTGCCATGAACATTCCTCCAATTGCAATGCAGGCCAGAGAGCTGTTGAAACCCCAGAGTCCAAAGTAGATGTCCTCAAATGGAGCCGAAAGACTGAGTGCTATTAGGTAAGACAGGAGGAGTCAGAGCTGTGGACAAAGGCAGGATGCTCTGGAAGGAGTCTGGGGGTGGTGGAACTATCTTAGAATCCTATTGATTCCTTGGAAGTGGAGACCTCAAGAAAGGTGTGGAGGATAGAAGATGCCTGAGACAACACGTGGGGTGGAGGAGGTGCTCAATACTTGGCAGAGTCTTATCCTTACCTGCTGCTATCCCCAGCAACGACCCAGTTGTAGCGTGCAGGCACATGACTGGGGAAGAGAGCAGGATGGCGCACAGGAAAATGCTTCCTGCCCACAGATTGTCACAACAATATATCTGACCAACACCCACAGGCAGGGATTTCAATAACTGCAAAAATAGTTTAGGAGATAAAGTCATTAAAACAACTGGACAGAAACCCATAAGATGCCCACAAACACATACAAAGTAATTTTCAATTTAGCATATTTTACTTTTCAAGATCAGTGTTATTAATTTTAAAAATCCTCTCTGTCTCTTTACAGAAAACTCCCAGTCATTTTTCTGCTTTATCCCTAAAGATAGAACAGCCCTTTCCCGGTGGACGTGGAGCATACCTTCTCAAAATTCCCCCTTCGCTCACTGGCTCCCCTGCTTGCACTGACACTTGGCCTTGGTAACTGATAAGCTCCCAGTGTGGTTTCCCTGTCCCTACCGTGAGCATCTGCCACACCTCCCAGTGAAGATGGCAGGACCACAGCTTATACTTCTCACTTTCAACTGCTAGCAGTGCTGAGGCCAATCCATCCATGCATCTCTACAGTCCATCTCTATAGAAATATTGCTACTCTCATGCAATTTAGTGGTTAGGGGTACAAGGCCAGAGTCCCGAAGTCAGGTTATCTTATCTACGACTCAGAAACAATTATCGGCAAGTTCACAGATCAGGATCATATTTACACTTTTGTTGTTAATGAGAACATGTATTAATTTAAACCGAGATATCCTTACCTTATTCCAGTTATCAACAACTGTCAGTCCTCAAAACACAAGAATACATATAAATGTCACAATTCTACTTCCTGGCTGAGGCCTGAATTCAGCTCATGGCAGTTCTCAAGAAGGTACAGGCATTGATTTGAGCTAAAAAAAGATAATTCTTTATAACAACACTTCTGGTAGGGCCAGAATAGGCACAATTAGCCATGTTCTTCCCTTTTGACTGAGGTCATTTATTGAAAGATGTCTTCCCCATCTCCTATCTTGCTCTTTCCACGGGTCATACTGGTTTGTTTGGCAAGGACTTTTGGAAGGCAGCGACTCTGATATAAGGAGGCCCAGCCTTGGCATGAGGAAGTGTTCTCTCCCTTTATGCATTAGGCTGGATCTAACGCTGGCTTCCAAACACTGGTTTGGTCCTTGCTCGGTGCACAGGATCATACTGTGAGTTTAATTCTACTCTAAGATGGGCCCTAAATTCTTCTAGCCCATTCTGTATCTTCATATCTACACAAGATCATTTCCTGTTTTTTCTAGACTAGGGAATTTGACACAGGCAAGCCCAGCAGAACTATCCTTGAGGCGGCCATGGAGGTGAGGAGCTGGGTGTGAGGGAAGGAAATAAGGTGCTGATGTTGGAGTGGTAGTTCGGAGGGAGGAGAAGGACAAAACCCCCACTCCCCCAGATCAGCACTGTTCATTAGAGCTTTCAGTGATGACGGACTATTTTGTATCCGTGCTGTCTAACACATGTGGTTATTGAGCAACCGAAATGTGGCTCGTGAGGCTAAGGAACTAAATTGTAAGTATTAATTAATTTTACATTTAAATTAAAATAGCTATATGAGGCTAATTGCTACTGTATTAGACAGTACAGTTTTAGATAGTTCAATGAATATTATTTTATACTATTATTTTTCATGGGAGGTTATAATAAATTTTTGATTTTCCTTCTGAGTTATTTTCAAATGCTCCCATTCATTTTCTGGACAAGACATTAAAGAAAAGGCTACTTGAGCTCCTCACATGTTTTGATTGCGCAACACGGAGGATAGCGAAAGGTGTTTTATAACCTGATAGTGGCGATAGCCAGTCTTTTTGCATGTTAGAAAAAGTAAGGTTTCTTTGGTTTTCTTCTGATTTCAAGTGTTCTCTCCTTTCTTTCTTTTCTTTTTCTTTTTTTTAATAATCAAGAAACCTGAAACAGATTTATCAAATAAACACAGGTAGGAAGAGCTGGAACTAGATTTAGGTTAACCAGGTTTTTAAAAATGGTGTTCTCTCTATGCACATCTGTAAAGAGACACATAGTATACAGCTCATGATAGTTGTTCTCAAACTCTGGCCCACATTACAATTATTGGAGGAGCTTGTTACTACAGATTCCCAGTCCACACCCCCAGAGATTATGATTTAGGGAGTCTGAGAAGGCACTTGTATTGGTATTTAAAAAACAATGATTCTGATGCCCACCAAAGCTGGAGAACCCTGAATTATTGTACCTATTCTGTGAGACTGACCATAAGTAAAAGCAGAACAGAGAGTTTCTATAGTGGGATCTAACAGTAAGCAGTCAGTTCTTTTGATTGGAGGAGGTAGGTCATGGAGGCCTTAGCCCCCGGCTGGAGGCTCCTATCTCATTAGCTGACCCCCAACACACCTACCCAAACAAGGGTCAAGCTTGTAATAGAATGTCTGATTTCCAGTGGAGTTAACACTGCAGATCTTAGGAATCGTGGGGGAAAAGTTGGCTTTGACCAAATAGTCATTTAAAAAAATCCATTAGAGCCCAAAGCTTTTGAGTAGAACAAATGCTTTAGCTGGCAAGATGAAGACAGCAAGGCCCCTGTAGAGCTGAGTCTCTTTAAGGTTCTGATGCCCATGAACAATAAACTAGGAGGACACTGGGTACCTTTCACAGTCAGGGGGAATGTGAAGAGATCATGTATCTTACCTGCAGGGCACTGAGGTCAGGCCAGGTGACATTGGGAACCGAACTTATAGGTGTGAACAATTTGCTTGGGAAGAATGGATTGTAATGTCCCGTGGCTGAAAGGTACATCGACAGCGCCATGTTGAAGGGCAGGGTGAAGACAGGGAGGTCCCATTTGCAGAACACAGTGCTCAATGCACTTGAGAAAAGTGGACTAAAAACAATGATGACAGACCAGAATGTGATATGCCACGTTGACAAACTAAGTCTCTATAGTATGGAGGGGCTCTGTCTTATCCACAAATATGTCCCTAAGGTGCTGTGATGGAAAACTTTTCACAGAAACAAACAAACAAACAAACAATTCTCCTCAAACCCAAACACACTTGGAATGAATCTTGTTATAGAGACAATAATTTTTACATCAAGTCAAAAATCAACTCATAGCTTATTTGGCTTTGGAAAAAATTACATATTGGGGTTGCTCATAGTGAGCTATAAATCTAGGCTTCAAAAATATATTTGAAGTATTTAAGACATATGAAATGAAAAACTATCTGTACAGTTAAAGCCCCCTGTAACTTGCTTGGTCATATGTTCCTTCCTTCCTACCAAAGGCAACCACGATCTTCAACTTGTCTATCATTTCCATGAGTCTTTAGTATATCTATTTTTGAAAAAGAGAAACGATTGTCTAAGGGAGGATGCAAGTGGTGTGGACTGGAGGAAAAAGGTCTCAAAATCAGAGGGCAGAGTTTTAAGTCCTTGAGCAGTTGATGGACTGTATGACCTTGGGACAAGGCAACCCTTCTCAGTTTCCTTGTCTGTAAACTGGGGAATTGGGTTAGCTGGTCTTTTTGTGCACTTGCTTGTTGACTCAATCAAAAGCCATTACTTTTAAGATCAGACCTACAGATTTCTTCGGTTGTGGGAGGGGATGTGCTGAGCATCCACAGGCAACATCTCCTGCCCTTGAGCCTGTTCTTTAGAGCAGGTTGTAAATTACCTCCGGAGCAGATTGGCTCTGCCGGCAGCTTCTCCTGCACACACAGGGTGGGCGGCCCTCCTGCGGGCACTGTTGATAGTGGGCCATACTTTTTGTTTGTGTGGATATGAGTATTTTATAGTCTAAATATGCTACAATAAGAAGGAAATGTTTGCTTCCAAAAAAAAAAAATTTAAGACAGTGTCAACACAGAAACTAGTCTGAAGTATTCAGGTTTTTTTTTGTTTTTGTTTTTGTTTTTTTTAAAGGTGAAGGGATTAAGAAGTACAAACTGGTAGTTATAAAATCATCACGGAGATGTGAAGTACAGCATAGAGAAAGAGTATAGTCAATAATATAGTAATGACTGTATATAGTGCCAGGTGGGTACTAGACAAATAGGGGGGATCACTTCATAAATTATATAAAATTTCTAACCACTATGCTGTACATCTGAAACTCATATAAAATAATATTAATAATGTCAACTCTAATTGAAAAATAAAAATTAAATAAATACTCTGGCCCTTCAAGAAAACCAGAAATTGAATTCGGTAAATAATTTTTTTTCTCACTCTGCCATTGATGCTGACGTCATTTCTCAGTAAAGAGTATTTTTTGAAGGGCGCAGGGCAGGTAGGCAAGGGGAGTTCATAGAGACACGGTGGTTCTCAAAGTGAGATCCCTGGATCAGCCATAATAGCATTGCCTGGGAACCTGTTGGAAATCCAAATTCTCAGGGCCCACCCGAGATGGACTGAATCAAAAACCCTGGGCAGGGGAGCAGCAGTCTGTGTTGCAACAAGCCCTGCAGGTAATTCTGATAGTATGTAAGTCTGAGGACCACCCATGTAGGGAGTGCAACTTTAGAACCCTGTGGGAGACTTTAAAACTCCGAAAGCCCAGGCAACACCCCTAAGCGAGACTGATTACATCAAGATCTTGGGGGAGGGCGAGGTATGTATGGAGGGTCATATGCATCAGTGTGTTTTAATGCTTCCTCTTTCCAATAGACATAACCAGAATCTAAATTAAAAATTTTTTTCTAAAATATTGTGTGGATATTAGTGTTTTATATTCTAAATATGCTACAATATCCATAACATAAAATTTACTACTTAACCATTTTAAAGTGTGCAGTTCAGTGGCATTAAGTATATTATACAACTGTCACCATCATCCATTCATAGAACATTTTTCACCTTGCAAAACTGAAACTCTGTACTCATTAAACAGTAACTTCCCTTTCCCTCCATCCCTTACACATTTTTAAAAAGGCATTGTGAAAACTAAGTACAACTTACCAAGTCATGGACATAGCAGATACAGGGAATAACAGCCACCAGAAATAGTCTCCGTTCTCTGAAAGGACAGCCATGAGTATTCCCACCAGGGTGGCATTGTAGCCATGCAGGCCTGCTGCAATTGCTGACCTGTGGGCAAGAGGCACAGCATGGCCATTTCCTGCGCGGACACTGGCTGGATTTGCACATAAGTGACACTTCTAAATTTCAGATTATATTCTCATTAGAAAATGAGATTATATTTAGAAATTTATTTCAAAGTCTATAGAAGCCAAATACTAATAAAAACATGAAAGAATAAAATATACATAGAAAAAAATACAAATGTGCATATAGAACAACCCCCTACAGAGGCATCATAGCTAAATAGATTTCCAGCTCCTGGGGGAGAAAGAGAAACCAGCAAGGCAACAGGTTCTGCTTCCTTTCAGCCTTTCCTTCGGGAAGTTGTTATTGCTTTTAAATCATTAAGGGCCTCTGACTTGAACAGAGCTTTTGGATGAAACTGTTTTCGAAGTCTGATTTCCTTGGTGAGAGATATAAGATTCTTGAAATGTAAATTCACTTTCATAGTGTCTTTGATCTTATAAACATTAATCTTCCAGCTTAGCATATATTTTCATCTTTCTGTGTTTTCATTTTGTTGTCTCCAAATATACATTTCGAAGTTATTGAGAAGAAAAACAATTTCTTTTCTTTTACTTGGTAAAGTACTTTATTTAATTGGGTTCATGTTTAGCATCTAATTCTTCCTTGGGTTTCTTTCTGTTTCTCAGCATTGTACCTCACTTCTAAAAGTTGGGTAAGTTTTTACTCCTGGACAAAATGGTTCCTATGTCATAATTGAGAACTAGAAGCCCCAAGTGAGAAATGAAACTATATATACAGAATGAGCCCCCAGGCTGACAAGCCAGGCCCCTCAGGACTCTAAGAGTTGGTAACTTCTGGCAGCATGAAGAGCCTGGCATTCAAGCTTGAAGTCTGCAGAGACCATGGCTGTGAAGATGATGAAGTGAGTGAGTAAGTTTGAATGCAGGGCCTGAGGGGGAGGTGAGGCAGCCAGTGAGCCATACTACAGGGGTGGCAGAGGATGGTGTGAGAACTTCTTCTTGGCTTGTTTCTACTGGAGCAGGAGGCACCAGTGCAACAACTTCTTGGTGAGAGTGTTAGAGGTGGGACTCCCTGTTCAAAAGTCCTTTGTCTACCTTAAATAATCCTTTGGGACATGTGGAGAGCAAATGCAAAGATGTATTCTCTCAACAACTGACCTTCAGAATTAATGCGTGAGTTTGATCAACAAATTTAATGGCAATGACTACAAGTTGTGGAACACCAAGATTAAAGCAATAAAAAGATGTGTATTCACTTAAAACACAGGATTGCTAGTTTAACGTGGTCTTTTTAGGACCAAGGAAAAATAAAAGATTTGAAAACTAGCACAAATAAATATGGCTTATCTTCTGAAAAATACCGGATAAGGAAAATGGAGCAAAGCAATGAAGAAATACTGGATATGGCACAGTCCTGGACCACACCTCAAAAGTGGAAAGACCATTTTTTGATGTGCATTGGAATAGGGTTTAGACTAAGACACAAAATCACCCTGTACAGAGAACAAATCAGGCTCCTTGGATCTGATGGGAAAGTGAGCATTTGATGATTCTCTCCCCAAGAATCTCCTTAGGCAACTTTCTGTAAGAGTTACAAGAGCTTAGGTGTGTAATGACAAGCCACTGGGGAACACGCATTGAGCTTGGACACTTGTAAGACCAGCAGCCTCCCCGAAGGAACTGGTTAATCAGGAGCCTCCTACACCCCTGGTGGGAGTCAGCTTGTCACTTCTTCAATGACAGATCAGTTTATAAAATATGTGCTATTTCTAACCTAACACACAGTTCAGAAGATATCCTAACACTACTTAAATCAGAACTCACTCACTTGGAATTTGTGGTTACTTCTCTCTCTAAAAGCTGAGCTGTAAAGAATACATTTACTAAACGAATCATGGAAACAAGATATAATCGGGATTATTAAGCAAACAAGGCTTTTCATGAACTTATGCATTTTTTGCCCAGATAAAATGCTGACGATGAATAATTGATCGATCATTAAAGAATATCTCTTTAGAATATCTTCTGGGCATTACTTGTACCTTTGCACTGCCATGAGAATTGGGCATTATTCAGACTGGCCACTTACTCAGTTACTGTGGATAAGAGGCTGTAAATCAAACCCCGTCATTTCACTAAAAGCAAATATAAAGAGTTCTGTGGAAAAAAGCTTGTTTCTCCTGGGGAGGATGGGGCATTAGTAGTGCTACCCAAGTTCCCTGGTTGGCTCCTGTGTTCTCAGAAGTGAGAAGAGCAGGCTTGGATGGATTGTGCCTACCTGTCCTGACTGAGCAACAGGGCTGTCAGGGTGGAGATCACTGTTCCCACACAGCCATTGAGAGCCCACCACGGGTTCTGGACCAGGAGTCCCACCAGAATCAGGATTCCACTGATAGGGTTGCTGACAAACACCACTTGGGATATGCCTCGAAGAATCCAGTCAATGAACTGGAGCACCAGGGGTTTGTCTGGAAGAGACGAGATGGGCAAAGGTAAAGACATGGCAAGGCAAATGGTGCCCATTCCCAAGTTTAGGGTCTCCTTGAGAAAAATCATCAAAATCCCCTCTGATGAAGTTGAAACTTATTTTTTGTGTTTTTTGAAGCTTTTCCTCTCTAAACCCTTTTTCCTTTTAGTGGCACCCAGATCCTTAAAAGCATCCGGTTTCTTTATGCTCAAACCACGCTGCCCCTACTAGAACTTCAGTTCCAGGAAGCATCAAATGCACTTATTTACCATGCTTAGAGGTACAAACTCTTAAGCCAGAGGAATGAATTACCAACAGTAAAGTTTCAGATTTTAAGTACTGAAATTATAAGATGGAGCCAGTCGCCTTCTTGTGATATGAGTAAGGGCCCTGGTCCTGACCACCGTCTCCATACGAAAAATTTGAAGAAGCCTGCAGTTTACAAGATAAAAAGTTAAAGAATGGAGAGAAAAGGAGAGATAGAAGATAGGTGAATATAACTAAAGATATGAGTAGAAGAGCCAGCAAACCATTTCTCCCAAAACTACTTCTCCCATCTCTCCATGGAATGGAAATAGAAATACCTTTAAGCCAGCTGGCAAATTCTTTCATATCACCGGTGACATAGCCAAGTGCCTTGGGGAGCCACTTTCTCCCTCGACACGGTGAAACCTGGTTTTCACCTCGGTCCACTTTAACCACAGTGGGGCCGTCCTCCATGGCTATCTCTTCTCCTGGCTCCTTGAGAGAAGAACAGAGCTCGTCAGCACCCTAATGCAGAATACTCCCAACTGTCCATCACTGGGCCTGGTCGCAGTACTACAGAGGATGAATTTAAAGGTACTTCATCTGGACCCTAACATCACATGCTACTAAGAAAGCATCATTTTCCTCTTGAAATATCATCATGGAGATTATTACCCAACCCCAAATTCCATGCTACTTTTGACATTACTGTCCTTAATGCTACCAGGAGAAGGTTTGGTCTTTGATTTCATAAGATTCGGCTTCTAATTCGACAAACATTTATTGGGCATCTATATCCTGCACTCAGAGATCTCACTCAGCCTAGTGGAAAAGCCTGAAAAACACGATTGAATTTCAACACAATGAGTCAAATAATAACATAGAAAGAGCTAACATCACATTATGAAGCTTTATGTGGTCCATTAAAGGAACCAGGTATCCGGTCATAAAATGGCACTCGCTCATGCAGACCAACTGGTTACTTTCCAATACAAGTAGCTTTTTGAAATTAAACTTTAATTTTACAAAAAAAGGTTTTATTTTTAAAAGTTTAAAAGGGAAGAAAAATTAAAAAAAAAAGAAACACTTTGTGTCGATATAGTCGAAGAATCCCCTCCTGCAAACTTTCTACGTCAAAAAGTGCTTGGATACATCCTCCCATTAGGCAACTGTCTCAGACATTCTTTATTTTTGGAATTTGTTATTTAAATGTTTTAAAATAAGGATAGTCAAGAATAAATTTACACAAAGGTATAGAAATTGGGAAAGGTGGAAGTGGACCAAGCTGTTGAAAACCAAAGAGTTGTAATCTAAGAATTGTACAATATAAGCATGTATAGGGCATGATTACAGTAAACATGCTTCAGGAAAATACTAATTACGTAACCATGACTTGTGTTCCCTATGAGACTCTTCATTTACCATGATAAGTGTGTAGGAAGTAGGAAAGCACCAACATCATCAAAATATGGTACTCTGTAGACGAAAATGGTTTCATGGTGTCCACGGTAGACACAGAAGAAGGAAATCGATGATGTAATCCCAGAGGTAGGCAAAGGGAGAAACACAACGTCAAAACCACACAGAACGTGCAAGAAAAGCCAAGGGCACAGTCAGGTAAGTGTGAGGTAGGAGAACACCAAAACCATCAGACTCCAGAAGGCGTAACTATGGAAAGTTGAAACCACAGTCATATAAGACATGACCAAGGAAATACCCAAAGCCCATGAGGATAAATCAGCTCGCCTCCCGGTGGCCAGGCTGTGAATAACTGTGAATAGGCAGTAATTATGGCTGTTTTTGACCCCACCATGGTTCCATTTACTATAGCCAACAAATAGATATTATTGGATAATAAAGTTATGCCTTTTTCTTTTTGTAATCCTGACTCCAATTTTGCATCCATTAATCATGTGGAAATCAATGTGGATAACTGATTTTTTATTAAGTAACAATTATCCTTTAATTGTATTATTTCACTGCCCAACTAACCATCTTGCTTTACATAATGGGGAACCATTAATCATGACACAAAGTAGAAGGTATTCATGGAACACATTCTAGACTAAGCTTATTTTGTCTTGGCAAAATAGTGTTAGACTCTAGCCTTTGTGAGACTTCCAATGAATCTTTTCATTAATGAATTCTTAAATTAAAAACTGCTAGAGGTCAAGAGTCCAAACTAAGTCTATATGAACCTAATTGCCCCCAGAGTGAAACATGTAAAACTGAATTATTAAGTAATTATGAAAAATCACCTTTTATTTCATAATCTACGTGATGGCTATAATTTATTTTCAGATATTTCATTCTTTAAACTGCATAACTAAAAATATTGCTTGGTAAGCCCCTTCCTCAGCTACAGTGACTCATTTTCAAAGCCTTGTCAACTTATGAGAGGCATCAGGTTTCAGCCAGGTACAACTGCCTTGAGTTTCTGTGAGATCAGGTTCTACTAAGGCAGCATTGAATGAAATCATTAAAGTGTCATTTTCCAGCAAATACAGAAACAATTAGGTATATGGGTTGCTCCTGGGTGAACGAATTCATGTTCTTAAAGTTTCCAGTCTATATTTATTTATTTTACAGGGATTTAAATGCACCATCGCCTCAGAGATTTTGTAGATAGAGATACGAAACCTGATGTTATAACTGGCCCGACATGATTGGGAACCTGAATGTCCTGAGTTCCCTGTGGAGCCTCCCAAAGTTAAAGATTGAACCCTTTTGTTTGAAACCACAGCCCAATGTTAAGCAGGCTCATTGCCGTTTGTTTTTTGAGCATCCACATACTGGAATGGGAGGTAGGGCTACCATGTCCTGGTCAGAAGGGTCTCTTCCTGAGTTGAGCAGACAGTTGCTATTATGGACTCCCCTACCCCCACCCAAGCCGGTTATTATGAATGACAGAAAGCTTCCGGAGGACTTGCAAGCCCTGACTAGTTGCTCCAGAGCTCAGGCATGAGAGCTGGTTATGAGAAACCAGTAACTTAAAGGCTGCGGTTCCTTTTCAAATTTTATCACACTAGGCTATACGCATTTCTTCAGAGAACTTTAAGAATCCAGACATCCTAACCAGAAAGGTAATGCAAGGTAATGGAGCAGGGCCCTCCAACTGATGCTCAAACTTCTCAAATCCGACAAACCAGGCCATAAATATCAACTAAAAAAAGACAAGAAAATGACAGGAAGAAACTCTAATGAAATAGAAGCAGGATAAGATAAAAACCCCAGACTACTTTTCCCTAGCTTTCCCACGGTTATCAAAATTCTGCAGCTCAACCGTTCAGCATCTAAACCAAGATGAGTTCCATGTGACATACTGGACCAAGCCCCACGTGCACCAGGTCAGCCCAAGCTGTGCCGTTCAGCAGAGCATGAGGACCCCGCTTCCCAGGCTCTGTTCAGGAAAGACACACCACCAGAGCTTGGAGCGCGGGTGCCAAGGTTCCCAGAGACAGAGGCTGCACGAAGGAAGCGTACCTGCTGTGGCGGCCCACCAGCCAGAGCCCGCTTTAGCCGGAGGAAGCCTCCGTGTGCTGCCTCACCAGCTTTATTTCCAAAGGGGTCCCTCCAAAGAGGACCAGGAGGGGCGTGACCAGCGCTGTCAATCAAAGATGGTCCATTCATTCTCCTTTCTCTCCAGCCATGACAAAGGGCAAAAAAAAAAAAAAAACATGAATCAGCAGGCCGAGGCCCTGGCTCTGATGAGCGCATGAACTGCAAGATGGAGGGAGGCAGGAGCGCACCCCTTGGGTTGTGGGGAGAGGAGAGGTGCCCCTACTCTAAGCTATATTGAAGAAGTCATAGAACAGACTTCTCCAGCAGCCAAGAGCTCCTTCAGCAAAGAGAGACAATGAACTGACTACAGACATTGAATGCTCACTTTACTTTGCTTAAAACAGAACAACAACAACAAAAATAGTGGCAAACCATCTTGTGCAGAGACCAAGAACCAATCTTGTTCTGTGTTTTTCCACTCTCAGGAGGTTGGCATATCTGAAGCCTGATCCAGAGAGAGGGGTGGGCTCTCGGCTCTGAATGGCCTCAGGCAAACTGTTAGGGCTTCATCTTGGGACCACTGGCCAATGCGACTATTTCCCTCTTTACAAATGTGAGAAAAAAGGCATGATGTGGGCTTTATTCTCTGTAATAAGATACTAGTCACACTTTTAACACACAGCTGAAGCCTAGTTTAAGAGACTGCTAAATGACAATTTTCTTGCATCTGAATAATAGTTGTGAAATATTGGATATCACATTGTTAAAAATAAATAATTCTTAGTTAAATTCAACAAGTATGGCAGCTTTTTGTTTTCCTTTTTTTTTTTTAAACTTCCATTTCATCCAAGGATATCATTCTTCCTTCAGAAGTTCCAGAAAAGTTGTATGTGTGGTATTTCTTTTTTTCTCTTCCTTTTATTCAATTGCTACTTTTTTCTATTGGCTTGTTTTGAAAACTGAAAACTTACACTCTACAAGAGTGACTCAAAACAATCCACAATTGTGGAAAATACTACTATTATGTCTTGAAAAAAAATTATGTGCGTATGTGTTGATTTGTGATTGAACTATCCGGCTAGTTAGGTACCACACTGATGTATCTGTGGGTTACAGTATGTATATTTTTGTTTGATAAAGAACAACATTAAGAAGCCCAATGTAAGACTCTTATCTTATACACAGTTGGAAAAAAAAAAAAAGGAAGAAAGAAAGAAAAAAAGAAAGAAAGAGACAAGCAGGGGCACCCCTCAGTGTAGATGTCTACCCCTTTCGTCCGCCACCAAAATCACACACATCTTGAAGAACCACATCTTTGAGCTCAACATCAATATTTTCTTAGAGCCAAGAGATGGAAAATTTGGGGAGCTTGTTGGGGTTTTAAAGAGCACACAGTTCGAGACTCAGTTTTATGGAAAACTGAAGTTCCTAGCGGAGATCTTCCAAGTTCACTCAGCAGAGTCAGCCTCATGGAATAGGTAAGAACTTGTGGTTCTTTGTCTTCCAGTCTGGAGCACATAAATACCACCGAAGATTCTATTCAAGTAAACAAATAGTGAAGGAGCAGCTTCTGAATGCAGTCTGCATTAGGCGCCAGAGCTCGGTGGTGTAGTGGACATAGCTTGCCTCCATGGCTGCCTTGAAATAACTCTGAGACGGGGGTTGGACAATGACGGTCTTGGCCATCCCCAGTTTCACCCTATGCCCTTGCTGGAAGCAGTGACTGTTCTGACAAATAAACATTTCTCTGTGCCTCAAAGTAAGCCTCAATCTTCTGTATTGCTGACGTATCCACAACAAGGTCTGTGTGTACCAAAGTTAATATCCAGAATATTCTGGAAGCTGCTTTCTGGCAGGAGTCAGAAAACACTTCTCATAGCCTACGTCACCAGTGAAACAAAACAATGCTCATCTTTCTAATACAAGGCAATATCAAGATTTCAATTCAACCAACATTTCCTATTTTATTACACATTCTATGGTCAGTATATGTTAGAAACACATACACAAATATTTTTTTCTATGTCTCAAGTATAGGCACACCTCAGGGACTTTGCAAGTTCAATTTCAGACCATGGCAATAAAGTGAATATCACAATAAAGCAAGTCACACGAATTTTTTGGTTTCTCATTGCATAAAAAAGTTATGTTTATACTACACCGTAGTTTATGAAATGTGCAATTGCATCATAACTAAAAACACAATGTATATACCTTAATCAAAAATACATTATTGCAAAAAAAAAAAAAAAAGCAAAATATGACCAGAGCCTTAGTGAGTCATAATCTATTTTCTGGTGGAGGGTTTTACCTTCATTTTATTAAAAAAAACCTCACAATATGTGCAATGAAACCCTGCAATAAAGTGAAGCCCAATAAAATAAGGTACGCTGTAGTGCTTTAAAAAATAATACAAAGTTTTGGATATGGATATAGAGGAAAGCATTTAAATATTCATGCTCTAGTAAAGAGACTTTCCATGTTGACATTTGGTACTTACAATAATCTTTATTTTAGGTAGTTTTTGTTTTAAATGGCGGGAGGTACTCAGTTTTCTTTAAAGCTGTAACCAAAAACAAAGAAAATGCTGTCAGGTATTCCCGTCTCCTGATTAAAATACTTTGCTTCTTGGAACACACCAGTCCTAGAAGCTTTGAGGTCTGGGTTCCATGTTAGAAAGTGCATCTGCAAAGGACCTGCCAAATGTGTGGCTTCAGCGTGACTGGAAAGTTCTCTCGATGGGTGAGCATTCCCTTCAGCATGACAGCACATGTAGTAATCCATAAAACCACGACTGGAAAGGGCCATTGCCAATACCCACTTTTTTTTGGAGTCAAATTGATATGTCTCCAACTTCACTTAATTATTTCAAGAACACAGCCCCAAACTTTTACATGTCGATAAACTCAGAGTCATTTAACACATCCAGTAGACACCTTGCCGAAAACCCTCTTCCACATGGAGCTCAGGTGCTTGCACCCTGCTTCAGAAATCATAAGCAAAGGCATCGCTTCCAAGCTTCCAGGAAGAAACCTGTGGTTTTGAGAAATTGCTTTGTAGTCTACCAGAACTCTACTTTGCTGCTTCTGCTCAGTTCTGACCATCTGAAATATTTTTTCCATTAAAACAAAGAAAAGAAAAAAAAGAGCAAAAAATTAAAGAAGAGTGAGAAGACAAGTCCTCAACAATGAACAGCTGGAAATGAAGAGAAACAAGGAAGGTACTCACAGAGGAGGGTTCTCACACTCCAGCTGGCCTCCCAGTGGCAGAAGGCACTGGCTGATAAAGCCGGCTGAGCTCTCCTGGAAGGGAGGAGGAGGCAGTGCTGGGAGGGAGGCACCGAGCAGTTTTGTGCTCTTAACTCCACTCTGCCTATCCGTGGCTCTTTCCTCCCACTTCAGGCACCAGTGCCAAAACATTGCTGAGGAACTGGTCCCCTGTCCTGTACCTGATCGATCTCTCCTCTCTCTCTCTCTCTCTCTCTCTCTCATCTCTTGCTCTCTCTTTGGCTCTCTCCCTCTCGCTCCTCGATTTGGTGCCAAGAGTTTTGCGATCCTTTCCATGGCATTCTGAGGTCTTTGCCCAGTGATAATCCTACTCAAATTCATCTTTTTTTTTTTTTTTTTGTCTTCACGCTGTTTCCTGTAGCTTCTAACCTCACTATGAAATATTTTTAGAAAGGTTTATAACTGAAAAGGACCTACAGAGTGTCACCTTAAAAACTAAGGGGCAGGTTGTTATGCAAGAGACCCAGGAGCTAAGTGACTGCTCTGGTGGGAATTTTCTTAGACTTGACACAGCTTCTGCCCAGGTGTAAGAATCCAGCGAAGTCCCGAGGGGTGTGGCCCACGGGTGGGGAGGACAAGGGGTAGACAAATTTGTTTTCTGAAAACCAAGCTACCCTTTTCTTAGTGAGGAGAAGACAAAAATATAAATGTTTCCCTGGAATATCCCTCTATCTACGTGAGAACCCCAGGACACATTCTGCTGCCTTTTAAAAGCGTGGAGGCAAACATTGCATAGCAGAGGAATCTAAAATTCAAGGGAAAAATCTATTTCTTCTTCCTTCTTCTTAATTGTCAATTTTGTGGCATGTTCTGTTATGGCAGAACTCTAACTCAGGTGTACTTCATGAGCACAGAATTAATTCTCACCCAAGAAAGCTGTGCAGATGTCATCAGTCTTTCCCTTCTCTGGGACTCAGGCTGGCCTGGATCCCCTTGTCAGTGATCAGCAAGGCAGGGGAAACTCTCTGGCTCCACCCCCTGGACACCTGCCAAACAATAGGGTTCCTTGCTCTATTGAGGACTCCCTCCCTCTAGGTGCCTCCTGCAGCCGAGGGTTTGTGTATCTGGGGCCTGAGAAGGAGACCATAGTTCCAGATTCATGATCAGTTTTGAGGTTCAGTCATAGCTTCCACCAACATTTTTTCCTTGTAAAATAAGGAGAAAATAAACTTCTAGGGTTACCCTGAAAGAGAAAAATGAATAGCAAGAGGACAATCTGAAGGCCTGGTATAGGAATGAAAGCAATCACGTGAGTGTTTCCATGAGTTATTTATGCAAAGGGGCTACAGTCCCTCATAGTAATAATGATGATAATGATAGTAATGACAATGAAAGAATTGCACAAATGGTTGATCATTCACTCTATGCAAACGAGAAATCCAAATTTGCAGTTTGATTGGTCCACATAGCACTGTCCTGATTGGTCAGAATTGTACGTCCAAATTGGTTGTTATGGATCCACTATGATTGGTCAGTAAAGCTGTAAATGAGGATACAGTTGGGCAGCTCTAATAGGATGGGACAGGTCTCAGCCCATTGGTCCAAATGTGATTCTAGGATCTCCTTTGTAAAGGTCAGTTCAGCCAGCAGGAACACAATGCAGGAGACGTGGCAGCCCAGTTTGTGGCTTTTCTCTGAAACGCAGCCTGTGTGAGAGGACCCAAGGAAACAGTGGATGCTAGACTCTAATGGTAAGTTTGGGCCCAGTTAACCACAGGAGTCGTTTTTGACAGGTATATTTCTTCTCGAGGTCAAAAGAAAATGTATAGGAAACCCTAGGCCCAATGCAGGAACACAATGCAGGAGACATGGCAGCCCAGTTTGTGGCTTTTCTCTGAAACG